GAATCAGCCGTGAGGGTTACTGGGGTGGAAGGAAATGGGAAGGCCCGCATTGGCCAGGATGACCCAACTGTCCACGCTAAGTGATGCAGACCTCTGTGACAGCCAGTGTGGTGCAATGGGGGGCTTTGAGAGCAAGATGGCAGTCATGAGGGTGGTGTGTGAATATTCCCTGTGCAAGGGTTAGCTAACGATTGGACAGGTACTAGATGACTATCCCCAGAATGCTGTTGGGAGCTCAGTGGAGCCTATGTTACAACGAGCAGACAGCAACTTGAGTGACAGCTCTCGAAATTCCCTGTGAGGTGCAAACTAAGGACGCAACTTATGTAAAGGATATTTGAATCAATCTAAGTTCAGAAATGGGAAATTAAAAATGCATAATTTTGTGCTGGGCAGTGGTGGCACACACCTTTAATCCCAGCTCACGGGAGCAGAGGCAGGTGGATCTCTTTGAGTTCAAGGCCAGTCTGGTCTTCAAAGCAAGTTCAAGGGCAGTGAAGGCAACACAGAGAAACCCTGACTTGAAAAATCATTAAAAAGAAAAAAAGAGATGATCTTGCAATTCAGTTAAAATTACAATCAGAGTCACAATAAAAAATTAATGAATAAATAATCCGGTCTCACTTCATTTTACAAGTAATTAGACTTAAAGAGTTAAGTAATTTGTCTAAAGATTAAAAAACAGTGATCACCCGAAGAAGACACTGTGACCCATGTTTTCTCTACATCACTAAATGCCCCTCTATAACCATGGCGTGTCTCCACAGCCCAATGCCCCACTATAACCATGGCGTGTCTCCACAGCCCAATGCCCCTCTATAACCAGATTTGTCTTGAGTCCGAGATACCGCACTGTGACTCAGGTTTGCCTATGCAGAGCTAGATGCCCTGCTCTAATCAGATCTGCCTGCAGTACTATGCTCTACTATGGCCAGGTTTGTCCCCAGAGTCCTAGACACCTCTATGACTTCCTTTTGGGACAGCATGATTTTTAACAGCATTTGACTGTTTCACCAAGCTGTCTCACATTGTCTTTCTGTATTCTTATGCATCCAAGGGCCACATCTGATATTTGTTGCCCAGTGGCTCTTATCCATTGAACTTTAAACACAGGGCCTTGGACTGGGGTTGCATTTCCGTGGCAGGGTGCGTGCTTAGTGTGCATATGGCGCAAGACCAAAAAATTGGGTTCAAATGCTCCCATATTTATATATTTGTGTATATTGGTTCCTTATCATGAAGATGTGTCTGTCTGTCTATCCATCTGTCATTAAATATCTCTGTCAAGTGTCGAGATCTAAAGCTCTAGTCAGAATCTTCCTCATACGGAAGCCACATGACCCTCAGGTTTCCCAATACCATATATTCTTTTCTTCTGTTGCTTCTTTATGTTTCCTGGTTGAAGCTGAGGATTATTCAGTCAATCTAAAGTAGGAATTATGGAGTCACTTTTGATTGTTCCTCTCCTATTTATTACTCTAAGAATGCATCTTGTATACATGATTCTCCTCCCATTTGGCTGAGACAGCCACGGCCCCAGCCCTCATTGCCATCCCCGGGACTTCCATGCTTCCTTTCTGATGGAAACTCCACAAACCTTCTCTTCCTCAATCAACTTCAGAACCCTTTTCACTCATCTTCTAAAAGCACACATTTGAACCTGTCCTAAACTCTCTTGACACCTCACTTGCAGCTCCTGAGGAAGTTAACTTTCCCTGTGAATGGCCTGGTAGGAAATAGCTCAGGCTTTGCAGATTTCATTCAGCTCAGCCACCACAGTCATTCATCACACAGGATAACTACGGCTAGGTCTCACGAAAGTTCAATTACAGATGGTTAGGTATGATAAAATACTAATTTCACTTGCCCTATTTATTAAAACAGTATAAAAATATTCTTCATGCATTGATCATACAAAACAAACAGCAGGCCAGATGTGGTGCATGGGATTTAGATGCTGACCTTTGCCTAACCAGGGTCTCTTCTCCAACCTCAGTATAAGGATCCTAATTCAGGACATCCATTGTCCACTGTGTTGACAGCAAGCTTAGTGTATCAAGAGTGGCCAGTCCCTCTCAGAACCACCTTGCTCCACAGCACTGCCCACTATACTTCCGCTGGTCTCTTCTTGAGAACCTTTGTAGTCTTAGCGCCTACCTGCCAAACCTTACAGGAAACTTTGTTTGCTTCCATATTGATATCTTTGTATATACCAATCCCTTATCTAGAATATGTATCCTATCTCTTTCCACTTTGGATCTTTTAACATGAACTTATTTATTAAGACCTTTCCCAAACAGTGCCCTAGCCGTATCGACTTTGGTTACCGTCTTTAGGTGCAGTGCAGAGCTAGTCCATTCTCCCTCCTAGGCATCCCTGCAGCAGCCGTTATGTCCAACCCTGCGCTGCTGTAACACTCGACAGAGATTCCACACAAGAGCTGACTCCTCTACTTAGTGTGAGCAACTGAAGGGCAGAAATTGACTCTTATTTTCTTCCCTATGCTTAAGGATGAGCAGATTACTTAAAGCCTAGTAGGTGTTGAATGAATAACTATGCACCAAGTAAACATGACATTCACCAGCTGGGGTCCTTCAGGGAAGGCTGGACTTCTATTTCCCAACTTCAATGCAATTTGAATTTAAATCAGGACAAATATCAAAAGTGGTGGGTGATTCTTTCAGAATGTTCTACAGATTTCTATCCTGTTTTAATTTTTTTCTCTACCTATATAGATTCAACTCATTATTTCACCATCATTTTGTAGGATGGTTTTCACGTTTACTTTTAAAATTTGCTAAAAATGTCTGAGAGTGCATGGCAAAATGCTCACTTGCAGGGGGGTTCTGTACTTCGGCTGACCGACACAAAAGAGACAGCCGCCGTTTCCCGGCCACACTCCCGGGTGCACAGAAAAAATAAAGAACTGCGAGCGCGAAAACCCTACAAAGATGTCAGGGATACTCAGCCCAACAGGCACGGCTGGTTTCCAGAATGAAGGAGAAATGCGTCTGGTTCCCTGGCGTTTTAATTGTCATTTTCAAATTTGTGACTGTGGTTTTTTTTCTTTATTAAACATGAACATAAATGAAGCATAAAATGCTTATAAAAAGTACTACACTTAAAATAGCCAATTAAGCTTTATTCCTATGAAGTGGGCTTACGTTGTTATAGACTCTGAATAAGTGAAGCACAGCAGAAGAAAGCTTTCTAGGGAAGCAAGCACAGCCTTTTCTCTTAAGAACAAAGGAATTGGTTACCACGCATCCACTTCAGCAGGGACCGCATCTTAATATGCTCTACTTGCAGGAGCTGATCTTGTCAAACGGTACAAACTGGTACTATAGGGGAACTCTCTACGGACTTTGACTCCAGAAATTAACTCCGAACAAGACAGAATCGCAAAGGGGCACAAGCAGCATTAATATTTATTTGCCAGAGCTCGGTCACACCAAGACATTAAAAGCTGTCCCGTTTCTATAGCTTGGTAGTGCTTAGCACACAAATGGTTGCATCTCAATAGAAGTCTGACAGAAAAGAAAAGCCAGCAACATTATCATGATGAACTAAACTTTAGAATTTTGAGGATTAAATAGCCACAGGAACCGGGTTAATAGTAGTTCTCAGTGCCACGGTGACAATGCCTTAAACGGGCACTAAAAGAGCAGCTATTATTCTGCAATATTAAGCATTTTTCCTCATAAAAGTGTTTCATCTGTTGGGGCTTTCCCCAGGGATCATACATGTCTAAATGCTTTCTTTTCTCTCTTCTCTTTTGCTCTCTCCTCCCTCACTGCTTAAATCAGAAGGTGTCAAGCCATTTGGAAGATTATCATAACAAAATGTTTTTAACAAAGTTTGATTTGAACAGAACTGGAGGCATCTTAGCACTAACCCAAAACTTTGGGAGGTTCACCAACCTCTAGAATATTTTTTTCTCCAAATGCAGGCTGTTCAAGTAGTGTTTCTCTCCATCTGTTATCATACCGTGCTCAGAATTACATTGTCATATTTAATGCAGAAGGGATCGTTCCTCCTTCATAGCTTAAATCAACACAGTACCGCAATGGGAAAGCCAGTGTTCTCCTATGCTGTAAACTACATCAGATACCATAAACTTACATGCGATTGTAGACAAAATTCCCTCTAAAACTGAGACACTCTGAGAATCGAAAAGACTCAAAGGATTGATAGAAAAACCGAAAGCTGTAAACTCTGAAATTGTGAAGTGAAGTAGCTACTTCTCTTTCTTTCTGGACTGTTCTTTCGGTATATGTTTATGTATGTGCATATGCACACACATGCATGTATGTTATATGTATGTGCATGTGTACACACATGCACTGCACGTTTCTAAATCAGCAAACTCACAATGCTTACACCCTAAAGTCCTATTTTAATTTCGAATGAGCTATATGCTCACTTAAATTCACAATGGCAAACTCAGCACAGTACCTTATGACGAAAACATTGCCATTCAAATCCTTGCTGCAGTAAACTTGCTTATAATAATGATCTGAATGCAAATAGTCTCAACTTCATCTCTAATTTTACACCTCCTTAGGAAACACATTCCTTATTTTTGTATCAACTCCACTGCAATCTGCTCCTAGCATGTCTCTTCCTTTTGTCTCTCACTAGTGACAGAATCTGGTTATTTTCATAAATACATTTCCTCATAGTCTTCATTTCAACATTTTTATTAGACATACAATTAATAAGAGAGGTGGTGGTAGAAATATGTCATCTTGCTTATACTGATAAAGAATCACTTAAATATTTGAGTACTGCAGACAAATGGTTTTGTAATATATCAGTGATTCCCTGCCACACTCATCATTCACGTGTCTGGGTGTTTTGCTTGCCACATATCCACTTTCTGTAATATGCCTGAAAGCTGTGTGTGAACTGAATGACTAAGAGTAACAACTGTTTGGAAGCCTGTGGCAGAGTCAGTGGGACATACCGGGTGCTGTGTGCGTAATGGGATTAGGGCATACCTGGTGAGGTGCAGTTGGCGCTCAGACTCGCCCAGCAGCTCTGTGACTTGCAGGCACTCCTGTCTGGCCCGAGCTGCCTTCTGCTGCTCCTGTTCCACATGCTGCCTGCTTTCGCTCAGTTCTAGTCTCAATTTCTCTATTTCCTTAGGGAGACGGAGAAAAAAATCCTTATCAAATATATACAAATGAATTAAAAAATAGCACACTTTCATTTCTTCCATGAATCTTAATACAATTAGAACTCATTAGAAAATTGAGACTAGATGCAGTTCCCTGACAAAGAGAATTAGCACATCCACAAATGCACCCCCATGAAGTAGTTCTGGGCTGCGAGACCAAGTCTGACTTAAAACATGAAACAACTGATGGAACCAATGCAAGTGATTTCATCTACTGTCATGCAAAGGCTTGAGCCTTTTCGAGAGTAACCCTAATCTAACAGGGGCTACCTTTACAATGTCACATTCTCTAAGAGACCTGATCAGACACAGGCAGTGGTGTTAATCATGTATGTAACTGTGCGCCTCAAAAGACAGATTTACGGTTTTATTTGGATGTCATAAAAACCAAATTAAAAGTTGAAACAATTTGTTTTCAGGAAAATGTGAAGCGTTACAAATCCATTAGCATGAAACTTAATACTGTTTGTCCCCAGCGTGGGAAGGGGCGCAGCATGAGGTCCTCCAGCCTGAGCAGAGCACCTGTGACAGGCCACAGGCCGGTGGAGCACTGCCGTACTGAGCTTGGATTTATACATGCATGAACATGCACAGAGCTTATTAACGGAGGAAGAAACTACTAATCTTACTGATACGAAATATTACAAAGCAAAAATAAAGTATACTGTACATATTTTGCATAGTTTGTACATTAAAGTAAAAATATTCATCACAGAATATCTATAACATTAAGCAAACCAAAGGAGCTGGACATAAAAAAAATAGATGATAAAAACACATACACACAAAAAAAAAAAACAGAAAAAGGTCAGGAATATTTTCAACTTCATACATACTAAGTGAGAAGCAAGTCTGCTGCACAAAATGCAATGTGTTTTCACGTCTTACCAGACCATTTCAAAACAGTATTTATACATACTTTAAAATGTTCTCATGTCATTTCTCAATATTCTAAGTGACCTCCTTTATATATCAACTAAGATAAAGCAAATGGCTCATTTTTCTTATATTTATAATGCTATATTCAGTTTATACCATCAAAACTGTGTATTGCCAACTATATGATAAAGTCACTTATTATGAGTGTCAAATATTACTTTATTTTTGAAAATTCATATACATATAGGCATACTACTATCATTCAGAGGATGTTTCTATATCTTTCAAACTGAAATATCAAATATTTATTTTTTAAATATTTTAAATTATTAAAGTTATACTAACTTTTTCAGTCTTACAGGTAAATACAGCTAAAGATGTAAAACATAAAAGAAAAGTCAGTAAGTTTTATTTGCCTAGAATTTATGAAGTTAAAAGCAGGGAAGTCTAGAACTGGAGTTATATACTGACATTAAAACTTAAAACTTCAATCAATATTTTCTTTTACATCATGTTATTTATAAAAAAAAAAAACCTGTGCTTAATATGACCAAACCAGAACATTGCCATCTTTTCTTGATTTCGCAGGTAACAATTCATGTGATAGATAGGAAACACACAAAGACAATCAAAATACAATACACACACACGGACACACACACAAATAGCAAATGATTATAGAGAAAACACAGGCCTCAAAGCATGGACAGACAGATTGGCATGGCTGAGAAGAGCAGAAATCACGTGAGGCCACAAGGACCCATGCGTGCGAGACGGGCTAGCACCATCAGAGACATGAGCTGTAGGTCGTATTCTTATTATGAATGGTAGGAGACAATGGTTTAAACAGATATGCAATTTGAGAAGCTTAGTTTTAAAAACTGTATCAATGTGTATGATTAATTTTAGGCAGCAAGGAATGACAGATGGGAAACCCTGAACAGACAGCAGCAATATTCCAGACAGGGGTAGAGAGACTTAAAACAGAAATATAAAAGAAAATGGTGATATTTCATTTAAAAAAAAAGCGATGGATCTGGCCGGGGACATCTCTCAGTGAGTGACATGTTCATGGTGCAAACCTGACCACCTGAGTCTGGACTCCCAGGCCCCGTGGAAAAGCCAGGCTGGGGTGCTGCCCTGCAACCCCAGAGCTGGGAGGACGGAGGACTCCAGGAGCCTGTTAGTCAGCCAGTCTAACTGACAAGCTTCAGGCTTAGTGCAGGACCCTGATTCAAATGATGAGGTGGAGGGCTATGGAGGACAACACCTGACATCAATCCCTGACACCCCCCCTACACACACACACACACACACACACACACACACGAGAGGGAGGAAGAGGGAGACTAAACATATACACTAGAGTACTTCACAAGAGGATACAAAAGAGAGACAAAAGAAAACAAAATTCAAACTTCCTTAAAAAGAACAGACTCGATTCTTTGAGCATTATTCAATAACAACACACGTACTTCATGCCATTTTAGGTTTACAGCAGCTGCTTTCCTACCCTCACAGAACAAAGCAGCTGCACTAAAAGTCAGGCAAACTTACAGACAAAGATCACGGTTTCAAGACCCGCATGAATCAGAACTTGGGGCTTTGCACCTCTGTGACCCTGGGCAAGTCACTCAACTCTCGCTCTCTTCAACCCAAGCTCAGAGTGATGACTGGACCTGCCTCCAAAGACTGTGGTGAAGACCCCAAAGGACAGGGTCAGGAAGGAACAACCTGGCACGGCTGTCCCTGGTGTTCCTGACTGACGGCTGAGGGACAGCTCCAAGTAAGGTACCTGTCTAGAACATGTGAAGCCCCATGTTTGAGTCCCAGCACCCTCCAGCAACAGAGCAATTTAATCCAACAAACCTCCCCTCCTCTATAAAAGCATAATCTTGATAGAAACTGAATAAAATTTTACTTATTCTAATTTCAAAATACAAAGTTCCTTTTTGTGTGGCGGCCTGCTTCTGATTAGATGTGCCAGCAAAGGACTCGCTGGGACAGATAATCAAAACCAACATACAAGCTACCAGCTGGATGGAGGGTCGACACTTAGCTCCTCGAGTCAGGAAAACCTGCCATGGCACCAACTCCAACAGTTAGAAGAGAAATGCCATGTTCCCACTGGCAGAATAACCCTGTGCCTCACCCAACTGGGTCAGGCCTGCTTCCTGGCTGCAGATTAGTGGCTTAGGGACGAAAGACCGTCAGTGGTCATAAGCCAAATGTACATTCCTCTCAAAGTACACTATTAACCTGATGTCCAAAATGCAGCCTGACACAGCCATCTTTCGGCCAGCTGGGTGACAGGAGGGCTACATAGCTTTACACCTCACCAAAAGACAATCCTCAAATCATACCCACAAGAGCTCAGAGTGTAGCTCCCTGGGAAAACACCTGCCTAGCATGTTCACAGTCATCAGAAACAAGGGAATAAAATAAAAACAAAAGCATGCATATAATCCCCAGAATGACAAAAGTAGAAGCCATTAGGAATGGCCATTTTGAAGCTCTGGCTATATAGGTCATAGGTTGAGGGGAGAACTTACCCCTGTTATTCTGTTAAATGGCCATAAGGAGTAAAATTACGCCTAATGATTGTTGCTGCACCCAGAGATCAGAGACTCTCTCAGACCTCATCAGGGAATCTTGCAGCAGACGGCGGTTACCACAGAGACCCACGACCACTTACTGTGCAGTGCTTGCGGCACTGACACGCCTGTATTAAGATTTTCCTTAATCATATATATAACCTTATTTTTACTGATTAAATTTTCTTATCAAAATAACCACCTAATTTGAGTCAAACAATACTCAATAATTCATTATCTTAAACGATACATTACTAACTCTTCTAATATTCATCTTCATTTTTTTAAAAAATATATTTTTTAGTGTATGGGTGTTTTGCTTGCATGTATGTGTAGGTACCACGTGAGTGTCTGGTAGTTGCAGAGGTCAGCAGAGGACATTTGATTCTCTAGAACTGGAGTTGCATGTGGGTGCTGGGAACTGAACGTGAGTCCTCTGCAGAAGCAGCAAGTGCTCTGAACCACTGAGTCATCTCCATCGCCCCCATATTCATATTTTAAATGACATACTCACATTACTATTTCTTGGTTTGAAATCTAAGACATTAGCTATCATCTTCTTCCTCTGGGGTACATAGTGTCGTGTATCTACAGTCCAAGCTTATTAGAAAACTGAGGCAGGAGGACCACTCAAGTGTAGTCATTCTATGACTGCCTACATATCACTCTATAGGCCCAACTCACGCCTTCAGATAAGGTTTAGTTACTAGTCAGTAGTTCACTTACATTATAATGGAAAGTTTTTTCTCTACTAAGACAAGCGTTATTTTTTGAGTAAATTTTCTTCAACAATGTTTTATTATTTGGGGGGATTAATAGCCTAGTACTTGGGTACAAGGGTCTCTGTTTGCTTTGGAGCTAGGGTCTTGTTGTTTCAGAGGCTGGTCTCAAACTCCTGTATGCAAATGATCCTCCCTGTCTCTGCTGCACAAATAGCAGAGACTACAGGTGTGTGTATTCACTCTGGTTGCCCACTTAAAATAATTTATCTTTCTTAGTAACTGACAGTTTTTCACAATTATTCAAAAACAGTTGCCAAGTAGTCATACTTCCAAATAGTGAAATATTGAAGCATAGTTTATTTCTTAATTCTGACCCTTTGATCTGTCTTGTATCAATTCTTTATGCCTTCTCTAATGTACCTCAAGAGTTCTTTCCTAGTCAGGCATAGTGATATTTGTGTTTAATCTAAGCATTCTTGATGCAGAGGCAGGCAGATGTGTCTAAATTGAAGACCAGTCTGGGATATATAGCTAGTTCAGTTCCTACTTTTCTGGGGCCCATGTCACTCTATGTCAAAGGAGTTTTCATAAGAAAGGAGGCCTCAAACCATAAATTGTGTGTGTGTACATGTGTCTTTAAAAACTCTTATAGATAAACTCAAGAGTTTGTCTGTATATAAATCTGACTCTGAACACTACAGGCCCTAGACCACTGTCTTCAGGATTGTAATGTTACCACTGACGAGTCTCCCTAACTTCTAGTAATTGC